GATATTAATATAGGGTTCGGTCCATTTGTGTCATGATTGTGTTTTTACAGTTATATCCTAGTCCTAGGCTATCTAGATACAGTGCCAATCTTATAGAATATATAAACAAAAAAAAAAGAAAACAATAAATGTTACATCGAGCACTTAGCACGCGTGCTGCGTACATTTGCGATGATCACACTTAACTAACTAAAAGATCGAATTCGAATCGCTCAAATTGAATTTGAATCGCTTCATTACATTTTTATATGGTAGAGCCAAACAGCAGCAATATTATGGTTGTCGCACGAATGAGTCGGCTCGACCGGGGAAGGACCACGCTCTCACAGAATACCAGCGTAAAATAGCAGCTTAATGCTGCTGTGTTTCGTATGGTGAGTGTAGAGAACCGGAGACCCTTTTTACTAGAATCGAGGCATTCTATCTTAGTTCTCACGGGTAACAACGCACCTGTATTTTGATTCGTAATCGAGGGTAGACGTAGATGTCTATTGTCCACAGCAACCACTTACCATCAGGTGGACCGTGTGCTCGTTTGTCACGCTATCTTATAAAAAAAATAGTTTCTGAAGTGGGTGAGGCTGATGTAGACAAACAAAAACTAATCAATCTAAGAAAAAGGTGTATTGTTGTTAAATATAAACAATTTTTAATCATAATATAATTGAAAATTAAAAATCATCTGTGCGTTCAGCCGAGGGACTTAATCAGATATAAGCGATTTGCACTATCGTCGTTAGAAATGTAGTTCATTAAAATGTTTTATTTTTTCTGCTACTACCAGTGCAAGCAATTTTTACTTCTTTTGACATTAATAAGTGTTCCTCGCAATATTTTCGGGGAAGATACCAATGTGTTGCAAACAGTGCCCGAGGATTTGGTTTCGGAACTTTATTTGAAATATAAAGAAGCTGTGGAAGATGGTATTAGAATAGAATTGAATTATTTTTCATTATAGATTATAAGAAATATCGAGTCATTCATGCTTTTACCATTGGTTCGAAAAAAAAATTCTGTACTAGAAAATACTAGTAAGAAACCTAGCGGAACTTTTTTATAAATAATAATTTACAATATAATATTTTATTTTAGAAACAGCATGATAGCTGGGATTATTATCTATAATCTACTCCTTAATGGTATAGTAACCTTTTCAAAACGACTTTTGAATTATTTACAAAAATACTTTTAAAATATAAGTGCTGTATATTTTCTTGATCTTTGAGGAATAAGCAATTATTGACACATCAGGACTCTAGTAAAATACTAGTCTAGTAAATTAGCTTGTGTTTACTTCTAGTGGAATCTTTATATGATTATAATATACTGAAAGGTCAAAATTTATATATTAATTTCTTTGAATTTTATATTTTTATCTAGAGACTATTTCGAACTTAGTTTATAAATTACATTTACGCAAAAAAAAACGATAATTTAAAACAAAGATTGTTTTTCGTAGATTCAGCACTTTAGTCGACGTGTATCTGTTATTTGAGGTAAAAACAAATGAAGGCCTATTTCGTCTTCTTTGTTTCTCTTACCGATTTTTGCTTTGTACATTAAAGTAAACCGCCTGCTTCGGTGGTCTAGTGCTCACGATTGCATTTCATTGCATTAATCTTTAGATCCGAGGTTCGAACCCCGGGTCGAGCCACAATAACTTGTTGGATTTTTGTGTTAAGAAATTCTCATTAAACACGTAAAGCCGTTAGTCCTGCGCCTGATCTCTCTGGTCGTGTCAAATTGCCGTGCCATGGGACTATAAATGTGAGAGAATAGAGAGTGCACCTGTGTCCGTGCACACACTTGGGACATTATAACCCCGTTCTGGGCAGATAGTTAGTCTCAGTTGAGATTGGCCGCTGTGATAGAAATTCGTTTTTTTTTCAAAACGCACAGTCCACCTGATGGTAACTGGATGCTGTGGTAGATAGACATCTACATTTAACCTCGATTAAGGATTAAGAATCAAAATACAGATGCGTTGTCTCCCCTGAGGACTAAGATGGAATGCCTCGTAAAACAGGTCTCTGGTTTTCTACACTTACCATACGAAAGACAGCGGCATTATGTTGCTATTTTACGCTGGTGTTCCGTTAGAGCGTGGTTCTTCCCCGGTCAAGCCGACCCATCCACGCTACAACCATAATATAGATGCAAAAAGGCTTTACCACGTATAAAAGTTTGGAGTAAATTAAATAATATAAAGTATCATCAAACAATAAACAACTCATAACATGAAAAACCTGTATTACTTATAGGTTACATAGGTCGTATTACATAGTTTGTAGGTCTCATAGGATCGGTTCAGTAAATAAATTCTATAAATTTACCTTTGCTAAACTATTGCGGAATAAATAGTTTCCTCAAATATTATATTATTGAAAGGTTTTCTATTATCGCATCAGTTTAAAGATGGATTAGCGAACGACAAAAGTCTCGCACCCATATTGTTAAATACGTTAGGAGGATATGTAGTAATATTTTTTCTTTATATAACATTAACTTACTACTGGTTATACAAAAACCGATGTTTTAAAAAAAAAAAAAGGTATGTTCCCACATTAGGATTTTCTCCTGAATTTGCGGTTTACACACATAAATTGCACAAGGGCGCATATCCAGATTCGGAATAGCTATTTGTAGGTATGAATCCCGCACAGAATAAGTGTTTGTATACACTTGTTCTGTGCAGGATTCAAATCCGGGGCCATGCAACGCCGCGACTAATTGCTAGTGTAGTGGAATATTCTCTGGTACATCATATAGTGAGAATAGAAAAGATGTTTAGGGCACAATTACTTCTTTATATATTTTCAGCTGCTGTTTGACTGTAATCTCACTGCTTACGGGTGATGCAGTTATTTTCATAGAATGAGGGTGAAACGAGCACACTATCCACCTGATGGTAAGTGGATGCTGTGGTTCATAGACGTCAATATTTATCCTCGATTAAAAATCAAAATGAAGATGCATTGTGAATCTTGAGGACTAAGATGGAAGGCCTCGTTTGCAGTAAAAAGGGTCTACGGTTCTATGCATTCACCATATGAAATACAGCAATCTTAAGCTGCTATTGTACGCGATTCTGTGAGAGCGTGGTTCCACCCTGGTTGAGTCAACTCATTTGTGCTACAACCATAATATACTTGTGGCTCTACCATGTAAAACTACTCAGTTTCTCTTGAAGAGATCCACTTTGTATTCTGCTACTCTACTGGAAAGGCTGTTGTAAAATATTGTAATTTTTTTCTGTATACATTACTAATGACAACAAACGCTAAGTCCGAATTATATTATGTCACATCCACAGTAATATTGCGTGACTGATTGGTAGCTCCTATTTAGAACTATCAAACCATTAAACCACGAGCACGGGCTTATTCAGTCTCTTTGCTTTTTTGAAGAATACATTTAAAAGATTACATACTACATAATGTACATTTATATAACATATTTGTGTAATTATGTTTATAATATGTATCGTAGTATGTAATAGTAGTCATAGATATTTTAACTCAGTTGCACTTCGCACCCACAATATCTTCTCTGCTTGATCTGAAGGTGATTGCATTAAGTTCGCCTTTCTGTATTTGATATGCAAAAAAGCTCCTTCTCTCCATCTATATACCTACGCATATATTCTCATCAGTTAAGGGTACTCTTATTCTGGTCGATCTTCAATTTATCGCCAACTTAGTCGGTAAACTTCCGTCTAGGGCACCCTTCCCGACTCTGCCGTTCACTTCTGCAATATAAATTTGCTTTGACACTCTTTCCTCGTTCATTCTTTATATATGACTATACCACCGAAGCATTCCTTTCTTAATCCTGGTCACAACATCATCTTGCAAAAATTTTAAAGATTATGCACAGAAACAACTCTCATTATAGATGATATGGGGCGCGGCATTCCTACATCCTGTGCAGTCAAGCAGTTTGGTATATATGTACTTAATAAGGGTCACCAATAAGCAATACATGCGTAGGAGTTCTCCTCTACTGACTAGACTTTTGTACTTTACTTTTTAGCGACCTTTTAATAAACCGTAATTATAGATTTGTTCAAATTATACGTATGTAATTATATCTCCAAAAAGTCATATTGTCGAGCTTCATTAGAAATAGTGCTAATGGTAGTTAGTTAAGCTATAAACGTTGTCGTTAGTAACACTTTGAACTTATTTGACTATGCTAAGGTTCTTGTAGAATAGTATATAAACACACTTTACAGTATAGGTGGTCGATCTACTGTAAAGTGTGTCGTTTACGATGGATTTAAAACTAAAAATGTTTTTAAGAGTTTTAATTGCTATCTTTTTTTATGATGTGCCAGTAACTGTCTGGCAACAGAGATTACGATTTTTTTTTACTGAAGTAAGTATATTAAGTATATTATAGTTCAGCTAATGGTAAGAGATATCGTGGATCAAAACTACTTACATTTATCCTCGATTATTCAAGATGCAGATGCATTACCACCCCTGAGGACTAAGATAGCATGCCTTGTTAGCAGTAAAAGGGCTTTTAGTTTTCGTCACTAACGAAGCACAGCAGCATTATGCTGCTATTTTATGCTGTGGTCCTATCTCGGTATAATGTGTGGTGCAGCAGTAATATTCTGCAGCCTGGTTCTACGATGTAAAAAAAATCTGTTATTTTTAATAGTTGCCTCGTACATCACCCATAGGACGTAATGGTGTTGAAAGTCCTTTTACGCTGCTACCACAAGAATATACATTTGCTGTTTTTTCGTAGAGGCCCCTGTTGCAACGCGTCGGCTATTTATCCAGAATCGGCAGTATGAAATACATATAAACAAATTAAAAGAAGTAAATGGTTTCAAAAAACACAATCTAATTGTTAAAGCTGAAACGACAAGTGATGACAATCCGTTGATCTACATAAATAATCCAGTGGAATCAAAATTTCCTAACGCCTATCTCTCTTTGGAAGAGTTTAAGCAAACTCTTACAGAACGAATTTTGAGGCAAAGGAATATGTTTACAAAAGAAACGAAAAATGCTCTACGTACGTCAAAAACGAAATATTTGACAGCGAAAAAAATTAAGCAAAGGAATACGTTTACAACAGTAACAAAAAATGCCCTACGTACGTCAAAAACTAAATATTTGACAACTAAAATAAATACTTCATCAGATTATCGTTTAAAGAAAAATACTTTCATCTTAAAAACAAACAAAGTAACGGGATCAACAAAAACACAAACACAAAGGAAACCACACACATTTTCAGCATCTAACCCAACCAACGCAACCAATGGAAATAAAACAGATAGCATAGAAATCACTCATTCAACTATTGCTTTAAAACCTACTCGTACCTCAACCACGATCACTGAAACCGTTGGAAAAATTTCCATACAAGAAATATTCAATATAACAGAATCAACCAAAACTGAATATACCACAGAAACAACTACAGGTTATGAAGTAAATGCAATGGCTAATAGTTCAGAAACTTCTTCAACAGATGTACAGAATGTGAGGCTAGTTGAAAATACTCCTGAAAATTCAACCATTCAAGTTGTAAGCCAAGAACCAAGCACAGAGCCAACACATAAAGAATTTTCTACAGAAAATGTGCTTAGAGAAATAATTAAAACTACAACCAAGAGAACAAGGCGAACTTTAGGTGTAAGTAATTAAACCATTGAAATATTGTCTATAGTAGAGATACCTAGCTTCTCATTCCTCCAAGATATGTACATTTCGATTTTAATAAAAGTAAAGTAAAGTTACAGCCTATATACATCCCACTGTTGGGCAGAGGCCTCCCCTCATTTCTGAGAGGGTTTTAGGGCAAGGAAGTGTCCACCGTGTTTTCGAAATATTTTTTTTTCTTATTCCTCAGACATGCAGGTTTCCTCACAATGTTTTCCTATACCGCCGAGCACGTGGTAAATCAGTACTTAAAATTGCAATTAACAATTTCATTTGGAGCCGTGATAGCTAAGATGGTTAACGTTCGCTGTAAATATAACAGAACGCGAGTAACCTGGGTTCGATCCCCGCCGGCACCAATGAAATTGTTAATTGCAATTTTAAGTGCTGATTTAATAGAAGTAAGGATGACAAACTATAGATATTCGATTCGTCGTCTACCTTCAATTAAGAATCAACACAAAGATGCGTTACCGTTCCTTGAGACTAAGATGGAATGCCCTCCATCATTAGAAAGGATCTCTGGTTCTCTTCACTAATCTTACGAAACACGACTGTATTATGTTGCTATTTTACGGTAGTATTCTTTGAGAGTGCGTTCGTTCCGCGGTCGAGCCGACCAATTTCTGTTATTTGCAGCGCTTTTCAAGCTGTAGCAATAATTCAGCTGCAACGTGGCTTTAAATGGTCTTTTGTTGTAATGGTTACTCATGATTTAAAGTTTGAACACGAGAAAGTACATTATAATATGTTTGTAAAAATTAGAAGCTACAAGTTGGTGGCTCGTAGCAACGTCACCAGTCGTAACTGAGGCCTGATTCTTATTTGAATTAATAGTAAAGAAAGAGAAAGAAAGAAGAGTTCATTATTCAATGAAGAAGATTCTCATTTCTTTTATTCCGATATCATTAAATTAATTATTTTTGTTTCAGAGGCCACTTGTGTTTATGGGAAAAAAGAAATAGGACATAACTATAAATAGCTATAATTACATGCATAAATACCTATAATTTAGCATCATCAGTCGCTCCATCACCGATGGCCATAAGAAATGAAATGGAATAGTTTATTTGTTGAACATAGGTAGTAATTATTTATGACGGAATTTGGTGCATTTTCCTTATGATCAATCAATCAATATATTTTTTATTGTACATCAATAAAAATATATAAAAAGTACAACATGCGGTCTTATCACTCTGGAAGCGATTTCTTCCAGTCAACCCTTTTCAGGAAAGAACTGTGGTTTACAGCGAATCGCAAATATAGCAGGTGTTCATTTTGAAAATTAAGTTAAAAAAAAGAAATAGATATATATAAATACACACATGATGATGACAGTTGATGATAGGTATGATAGATACAATTATGGACGGGAATTATGAGGGGAAATGTTAGAGCTCCGAGTAATACCTACATTATGAGATTTTTGAATAATTAATTAATATCCTAAATTGAATGTGATTTATGGGTAACAATGTTTTTACTAAAAAGTACAAAATGTTTGAGATTTGTTGTTGACCAACGTGCACGACATGCGACCACTTGATGGTAAGTGTCGACCGCCGCCCTTGAACAACAGATACATCAGGGGAATTACAGGTACGTTGCTGGTCTTTTAAAAAGGAGTAAGCTTGTTTCTTGAAGGTCCTTAAGTAACTACCAAGTATCCAGATGGTGTGGACGTTATCGTAAGTTTTGTTGCGATGTAACATGGTCTCTTATCGGCTTTATGATTTATTGTTGAATTGCTTATATCTGTTATAGATGGAGTATTTTTTTGTTGTGAATAAGAAGGTTTATAGAGGAATGTACTCAAATGTTACCTCTATATGAGTATAGAATTTACAAAAAAAACCCCACGGCCGTCCCCCAGAGGGTTCGGCCCTTCCTTTACCAACCCTAATCCCTTCTCGCCTCTTCCATATCCATACCAATCCTCGTCGGTAAGGGCTTTTGCCTTTTCGGCAACTCCCCACGCCCCCTAGTGGAATTTAGTCTTTTGTTAATTTAGAAGAATATGTCAAGCGGAATTTTCCACGAAATTAATATTCAGTATATTTACAAATATACTTATTTGATTCATTCCATTGGACTTGATACCATACAATATGTAACAAAAACCCTGTGGTTCCCGTTAAGTAACTACGCTAAATGAATCAGTGTTCAAACGTACCTTTAAACTTTAAACTGTAAACTTTCCTTCAGAAAACTCGACAATTTAAAAAAATTAATTGTTATTAATAATTTATTTCATAAGTATAAATTAAAAAAAATGAAAATGGTATGTGGTTTTATAATCCCTGCATTGTATTCGGGGAGTAAGAGTAGGAATGTAAAATAACCAGGTACAAATTGGAAATATTTTTTTTAAATTAAATTTTAATGTTCGTGTACTGATTCTGATAACGTGCTTAAAGGGAACCACAGGGGTTTTGTTGCATGTTGTATAGAATTTATTTCCTAGTTTTAATTTTAAATAAATTTTGTGAAACCTTACCTTATGTTACTCTATAAAAATCCAAGTTATTCCAAAAGAAATAACTAAAATTTTCTTCAACTTGCAGTGTTTAACATCACTATAACAATTTGTTATTTTATCTTTTCCGTTCGTTATAAAAAGTTCATAGGCGAGAATTGATGATTGTTGGAATTGTTTGGCTGGTGGAAAACACGTAAATTGCGTTCCCGCCAAACTATATACGTCAAACCGAGAAACGCGCGGACATTGTACCTCTGCTCCAGAATAAAGGCGCGACTCCACTGATTACAAAACACAATCTCACGTGGAACTACGGCTCTATAGAGAATTTACGACTCTGAAGGGCTGTTATTATTATAGCTCCACTCGTTATTGGTAAGTCAGAGAGAGACCACAATATCACCGAGGCACCGCTCCCCTTGTAAGCCTCTTACTGTACTTTGAACTGCTCATTTGAGCGAAAGGGATGTCTAGATTTCTGACCGAATTTCTCATTTGATTCAAGCTCCGCCCACATTTCTTGTATTCCACACAGTGGTGGGGTGAAGTTGGACAGTTTTAAATTATCTATTATAATAAAATTATTATTTTGCGAAATAAGGGGTTGGTTTCGATAATGATGCGTTTCATTTGTGCCGATTCCTTTTAAATGGAAAGACAAGATTTTATAGTTAAGAATGAATTATATTTAATTAGAAACACAGTTTATTGTAGGCACTCAGTTTAGGAGATTAGAACTATATCATAAATGTTATATTGTTTTCCAAAACAAAATTTATAAAATATTGAAATTACCTTAATTTAAAAAATGTAAAACAGGAAATTTATGGATATTTGTTAATAATAAATAGGTTAAAAACAGCAATCGGCCGCGTAAGTAGATAAATAAAAATAAAACGCACTCTTTTCATTTAAAATGAATTTGTCATCAGCCTGTAAATTTTAGAATTTGAATCATTAATTTAATGAATAAAATAACGTCCTCAAGACCGAATTTCGGTCACGACGGCCAGCCTCAACGGAGACTAGCCATGGGCGCAGGACAGGATTATAGAGCCCAAGTATTTGACTGATGAAGAGCTATCGTATCACAAAGCCATCTATGCAAACAAGGTTGTAGTTTTTGAGGTATAAGAAAGTGACTATATTAATCATATGACTATAATACCCTCACGTATATAGTTAAAGACAAACCTAAATTAAATTATGCGACAAACACGTTATTTTATGAACGTGTAATGCAACCCTCTTCATGCTTTGTTAGTCTCTTTCTCGCTACCTAAAGGGAATCCGTTTTCCGTCTCATTTCTCTGCATGCTCATCATATCCGTTAAAATATTATATAGAACCAAAAACTTTAAACTTTATCCATTTCGAAATAAGGTTAAATTTGCAACGTTTGTAACGAAAGTGTTCTGTCAACATTTGCGGTCGAGTTTTGGTTAATCTCCCCCGCAGAAAATTGTTAGTTCCACAAACATTATTTTTGGCCAATAGCATGTATGCAGCAGAGATTTTCCTCCAATCAAGTGCTTAAGCCTCCAGCTTCACAATGTATTTTATTTAAGCTTTTTAATCTTTTTTCAGTTTGCATTCATTTTTATAATTTTTTGTTTATTTTGTCTCAATCTCAGACTTTTTCTTTACTAAATGAAGCTAGCGCCTTTGTTTTTCTTTTATGTACTACTTTTTAGACGGCTTCAAAAAAGGAATAGATTGTCAATTCGACTGTATATTATCATGTTTTTATTAAGTTACTTTGTTCTTTATCTGTATTTATATCGTTCAGTGTGGAATTTAGTAACTGATTTCAAACTAACTTCCCGATAAGTTGAAAACTTGAAATTTTGAATGTAGCCCAAATTCGGATGATACAAGAATATGATATGATAAATGATGTTATATATTAAGAATATTAATTCAAAATTTTAAAAAAATCACACGGGTACACTATCTACTTTACGCAATATCTTCCTCAATTGAGAACCCTGAAGTCTTTAGGTATGGTCTTATGCAAATTTGGAGAAATAATGCCACCCCTAAGGGTGTGGAAATAGGGATGAAGTTTCTATTGTAATTATTTAGACGACGTTCTAGCTAATACCTTGATCTTGTGATATTTGTTACTAAAAAGGGTCAATATTTAAGTTTTAGAGACGATCATAGATCTAAAAAATAAAACAATTTCCACATAAGGGCTTCCGAAGTCAGGTATTTCTATACATTGTGTTTTTGCAGCGCCTTCTGAAGCTATTGTGTGTAAATCTTTCCATATTTTTTTTGTTCTTGGAAGCCACTGTTTACTTCAATTATTAGTTATTTTCTATACAAAATATACAGAGCCGTGGTAGTTTATGAGCTATGCGCTCGCTGTAAACTTCAAAGTACGCGAACAACCCGGGTTCAATCCCCGCTGCCATCAATGAAATTGTTAATTACAATTTTAAATGTTCATTTACCACGTGCTCATTAGTGAAGAAATACATCATGAGAAAGTCTGCAT